ATACACACACACACACCACACACACACCTTAATATACTGTATATTCTTAAATTTTATGTGGAAGTACTTACAAAGTGCAGGATATACACAGGTATAATATTGTGTAAGGTCACACTCCTTTCCAACACCTATCAAGAAGTTGAAGTTGAATTACTTAGATATATTAAGTGCATAGTGCCACCAACATTTCTAGGAACAACTATTCATAATTAAATTAATTGAATACACTAAAATAAAAACATTAAATATGTTTCTAGATATTACCATTGGTCTAACATCAGATAAGCTTGTTAGGTATTTTAAGGTAGCTTAGGCTACTAATAAGGCTCCGTTGTGGGGTTGAAACGTGTCAGGGTTTGTTATTGACTGCTTTTATGCCTTTTTGGGAATTAATTGATATTACTGGACTGATCCCAAAAGTGACCGTTTCAGCCCTACACAGCCACAATGTTTAGTGAATATCATAGAGTGATTTTATAATTGACTGGAATTAAAATTGTTACCGGGAAGTAGGAATGGTAAGCATCCACACTCTTCTTCTATATAATTTGACTTGCACTCCTGTACACATCCATATGTACTATACACTTCATGATGTTTCAATGCCAAATCAGGATTACATTCTCCCCAAGGATGTTCTTGCATTATTGACTGCAATGAAAATATTACAATGAAAACCTTTTTCACAATATTATCTCTATATGCTTGAAGGGTCATTCTAGTCAAATCTGATATAATTCGTTCTAGCGCAATTTGTCTGAATCAACTCTTGGCATCTTTCATGTTTCACTGGTGGTGAGATTATTTAAAATAGCTCCTGCACAGGACTTTTATCTTTCCTATGGGAAAATAAAATAAATGTTAGTGGGGTTAATCCCTTATAATAGTCACAGCAGGTTGACAAACCTGGGAACACCACCATAGAACTCTCATCCTAGCAAAGATAAAAGAAACCAGTGAATAATTAAACTCACTAGTATGTGCAACCGTTAAATATCAGTTTTAAGTAAAGATATGTGTTAAATACATTCTAATATGCAGCGCTAAATCGGCTTAAAACTTCTAAGTGCAATGTGACAAAGGTTAACATAATAGTATATTATAATCAGTGTCAAGCTATCCATTATGAACGTGCATTACACTTCACAGATGAATCTGAGAATTTTGGATAGAATATAAAGTACGCATTTCACGGAGGCTACTCTACTACTTGAGGAGTATCTAAGGGGTTAACACAAAAATACGGTAAATTTAACATAAACAAAAGTAAAGATGCATGTAGTACATTTACACTACTATATTATTTCTTACTACATAGAGAGGGGGGTGTGACTAGTGACTCCTGATTACTCTTCCTGTACATCTAGCTCTTGAAGACTGAAAACTTCACAGTTTAAAGAGGAATTCTACCCACCAATTTAATATCTTCCAGAACAGTACTTTTAGGGCATGTCAAACTTGTCATCTCTCAACTGAACTTTCAAGCCCTCAAATGGCTGGTGTCATAATGGAACACAAGTGCAGCATCATGGCAACTGAAATCCAAATAGAGGGTAAGATGGCACCTTTCTTGGCTGTAAGGGATAGTAGTTGTAGTCCTGCTTAATTTGCCTCCTTATTGACTGAGTTGTAATTACTATGGTTACACCACTGTGCCTGTTTTCCGATTGAAGATTTCCCTTAATTCCTGCCATAAACAAGTTGGTCCCCAGGATATGAATAGGGTTGCCACCTGTCCAGGATTCACCCGGACAGTTCGGGTTTTGAATGCTGTGTCCGGGTTTCATGGCAGCAGAAACCCGGACACCAGATGTCAGGCAGGAAGGGGCATCCAAAATTAAGATAGAGGCTACTGCTCCCCCACTGAAAATAGACTCAACTGTGATATTTACATATGAATGGGCGGCGCTATTTGTACATGAATAAGCCGCGTTTCATTGTCCCAAAAAAATGTCGGCTTGTTGGTAGAGTGTTCGGGTTTGGCTTGAAGAAAAGGTGGCAACCCTAGATATGAAATGTGGGGAAATCTTCCTGGCAGGGTCACAGATAGCACTAAAAATGTCACAGTGACCCTAAAAGAAGTTACACTTACATCCTCTGTATCTCCCTAATGAATATTATATTACACGCTCGGAGCAGCAGATAGAAAGATCTAATTGGAAATTAAGGGCTCATGCTGGCAACAAGATTACTGTATGCATGTAACATTTGTGCTAATGTTTACAGGCGTACAGCGTATAGTGCAACTGAGCCCTATTGGATGCTAGGATGCCAGGTGGATCTTGCCACCTAGAGCCCTTCGTTGCTAGAACACAGGCTGCCATTCGGGGCTATCATGTCAACTCAATAGTGTGTAATCTAGCTGATTACACATTGTTGATATTTACAGTACATTTAATTCCTGAGCAGGTTTTTTCCCCCCCCCACATACACACGCAGATATGCGTCGGGTGCGCCTATGTGCGAAAACGACGATTGTGCCGCACATGTTACATATCGCCGAAAACGTCGCAGTGAGAGCAATAATTTTATGGGCCTGTGGGCACATTTTTTGCGATTTTGCGGGAGCACGCAATTTTAAGGCTTGACATGTTTTGTGTCTATTCACCCGACGTGATCCCGACTTTTATGTTTTACCAAAAATATGGGTAAGAATAAATGTTTTATAACAGAACGTAGGGAAACTTTTTTTTTTTTTTTACATTTATGGTACTTTTTACATTATATAGTAAAACAAATAACCCCCCTTCCCCCTTGGTGATTATATACCTCCAAAAGAAAGCTCTATCTGTCCCCATCCCTGAGGCCAATAGAATACATTTGCTCTTTCACTGTATTCATGTAAACATTAGCACAAACTCTTACTAGCATATATTCTAAAATACAGTCCATATGCAGGAACTTTACTGAGCTGTGTACAAACAATACACCTGCATCCAGATTCAGATAACATTTTTGTATGGCTGTGTGCATAGCCCTAATACATTCATGCTTATATGTATTGAAAACACTACAAAAATTATATGGGTCCAGTAAATAGAAAAATCTGGCTAAACATGAATACATGTATGCCTATATTTATTGCTCATAATACAAAATAAAGATATTCTAGAACTAAAAGTAAATTACAGCTATCATGAGTGCTATTTAATGAGTTTGATATTGGTATTTCACAGAAACATGCAGAAAGAAATAAACAATACCATTGGTTGCAATCCACAGATGTGAGAAAAATCCAAACTTTGCATGTACAGTAGCTCCACTTGAAGATGAAATCTAATGCCAAGCCTTCTCTCTTAGCTATTAACAATACTCTAAAAATATATTAAGAATTTGGTATGGACATTAGTCTTTCAACGCAGAGGTGTGTTTACTGTGCGCTTCCTCTTCCTGTACATCACTACCTCCCTTAGTTCAAGCCTAAACTCCTCCCCCACCATTTTCTTTCTATGGTCCCACCCAGTCATGTGCCCCTTCGTTAAGGAGAGCTGCACCACAGTCTTTACCAGAGCGCTTCAACTTGACTATATAACTTTAAAAAAGGGTAAATATAAGAAGCCAAAGTTGCAATTTGCAGTTACATTGTAGGCAGGGTACCTAATGTAGATGTAAACCCAAACTGAATGACATTTAGCTTGCTTTAAACAACTGTGTCTCCTATCTAAAATTCCAACTGAACTCACCTCTTCTGCTGCCTGCACCACCAAACACCATTTGATTGATGAGCAATCGTCCACCGAAGTCTGCTGGGAAATCAACACTTCTGCCCGTGTTCCCACAGTGCTTAGTGGTTCTTTCAGCTGACCTGGATGTCAATGTTGTGACCCTGTGTACTGTGGCACATATACACTGAGTGGCCAGATTATTATGACCACCCCATCAGTACTTCGTTGGGCCACGAGATGACTCCACGAGAGGACTTCGTTGGGCCGCCTGGTGACTCCACATGATGTTGAAAGGTGATGCGAGGAATCTGACACTGCACTGTTGCCTTCTGTTGTCTTGTACCAGTCTTGCCACTCTCCGTTCTGCCATAACATTGACTAGTTGCTGACGGCCACAATTCGTACGTTCAGACCCAGATTTTCGGCTGACAGTCCAGTCTTTAAACACTTTAACAACAGCTGCTCTTGAACATTTAACGAATACTGCTGTTTTGTTGATACTCGCTCCATGGCTCCGCGCCAACAATCATCCCTAGTTCAAAAGCTGTTAAATCGCATTGTTTACCCATATCTTCAGAAAAAAATCACTTCTACTGTCGTGGTAAACAACCTGCTTTCCTATTTATAATGGTCTGGCCCCCTAGCAATTTCAGCGCGAAATTATAGCTAATTATAGCTAATTTGCCTACAAACGTCAGGTGGTCATAATAAACTGGCCACTCAGTGTATAGTCTCCATTGACAGAGTCTTGTCACTCTATTATAGGAAATGCCTTAACAAAGACCTTCAGGGCAGAATCACTATTTTAGTGAAAGTTATTGATATAAAAATGACTTTTGAAATAACATTAACTTGTTATAGGTTATATAAGATTTTGGATTTACATACAGTATAGTTCAAGGCCCAAGGAAAAAAAACCTTTGATCTGTTTTAGAATGTACTGAATCTAATGGCAACTAAGCACTATTTTTAAATGTCTAAATTCACCAACATCATTAGAATATTCTTCAAAGCTATGCTAATAATGAGAAGATGACATTTATTGGCTCTATAACCTGCTGAGTTCCAGCAATGTCCTCTATCTTTGACAGAGAACATTTAATATGCACATTTAATTGGAGATTCATCTCTGTGCAGATACTTATGAAACCTTTAATTTGCTCTTCCTGTTTAAAAGGTGTGTTTGAGTTATATATTTGCATTAGAAAATATCTATCAACAGCAACATCTGGGCCTTTATTTCCCATCTATTAAATATATAAATACCTTAAAGTGTCTGATCGAAGCATGTGCATGCATACCCACTGGACTGTGTAAGCCCAGACCATCAAACCTAGGAGGAACCTTTGGTGAGTGGATCACAAATGTTATCCCAGCGTCCACAAATCCCAGTGCTGGATCGTCTGTGAATTCGGTCTAGTGTAAGAGAATCATTGTTACTACTGTAATAAACAATACTGTACATCCAAAATTTCATCTCAACACATCAAAAGGAAATTATATAAATATTTCCGAAATTATAGAAGTAGTAGTTCCATGAAAACAGATAAAACCCCACATATCCATAGATGTTACAAAGGTTAGAGGGTTTTTGAGGAACATTCATATATGTATTCTGCTGGTAACTTATTTAGGTGGACTTGCCCTTTGGGTAGAGAGCTCAGTCACTTAACAGCTTCCCACAAGCCAGAGAGACTTATCCCCAAGCATTGCAAATGTGACATGTTAAATTTAGTTTTAACTAGAGCTGAGGTGCCCCCTCGCCCATCTTCTATTCTACATCTACTCCTCTAAAGAATTCAGCAGGAGTTTGGTGACCCCACATCATGATATCAAGTTTTGCTAGGTGCATCAGTGGCATGGTGTTATAGTATGTGTGGGGAGGAAGCAATGAGTGACCAAATCTGCGAACAGTCACTTAAAAATACTCTTTTACAGAGGTCCATTTGGGTTGGTCTAGGTCAAAGGTAAGCAATTTTAGCACTAATGCTGTGGTGAAACTACAAGTTCCGTCTATAGGAATCAGGTGTGTGGCTCTCTGAGTCTTGCAGAGTCTCACTGGACTTCCACAGCAGCTGGAGTGTGATTGTTGCTTACCCCTGACTTAGGTGTTATCTGTCCAGACACATTTAGGTACATTTATCAGGACAACTGGTGTAGTAATATGCAATAACAAACAAAACTTTGAAATGTCATTGTATGCCACGTGTATATACTGTATGTGCATGGGCCCTTAGACTGCCGGCACATTCACACTGGCATGCACGCCCATGCAGAGACCTGCTACCGGGAGGGACAGGTGCAGCGCGTCATTGTGTGCAGCTGCCTGTACATCCTTATAGGAGGACGTGGCTGCACACGGCTACAAGTCAACCTCAACCTGCACATCCATGCAGGTCCAAGTGCCCACATTTGGACGCACACTGTCTGCGTCCAAGTGCAGACATCTGGACCTGCATGCAGCTGTGTTCTTCCATAGGGATGTATAGGTGGCTGCACGCAATCACACGCCGCACCTGGTCACCACTGAGCAGGTCTCTGCATGGGCACGCATGCTGTGCGAATGAGGCACTCCCGTGTGAATGAGCCCTTAACTTGAGTTGCAGAAATCCCTTTGATGGGGCTTCAAACACAAAGCACTCCCAGTTCCCAGATTTTATACTAATCATTGATCATACTCCGTATAGAATGTCTGATGAATGGCCATGTGGAGGATCATTCTAGCAGTTCAATAGCGCATTTTCAAAAATAGCACCAAGATTGATGGATGATTTGGTTCACTGCCATGCAAAAACAAAGTGTGGTGACACGCACAAGACTATTTATTTATTTATTACTGAATTTGGGACTTTCTCCTAAGTTTTCCTTTAAATAAAGTCAGAATCCAGTTAAGAAATCATAGCATGGAACATCAAGGATATAACAAAACAGATGTGCCCGAAATAAATAATATCATAGTGTTTAATGATTCATAAATAATTAGCCTAATTACCTGTTTAATATCAAACATTACACTTAGTCCTTTCCCTGCTGTACTAATCCTTTTATCTGACTCAGGTGTATTGCGGTTAAAAGAGTAGCAGTTTCCATACTCTGTGAAAACATGATCAAAGTCCTGTAAGAAAGAAAAGCGCAAATACAATTTATATTTGGGGCCATCTGGAAAATGCTCTTCGAGCACAATAGGAACAGCATGTATGCTATCTGTAGTAGTGTTTCACACTATAGCAATTAAGGTACAAAGAAAATTCCCAATAGTAAACAAATGGAAGCTTCCTTCAAAAAAGGATTGTCAACTGTGCCTAAGTAGTATCAACCCTATTATTTTCATTTAGAGCAAGTCCCGTTCCATCAGTGTCCTAAATCTGTAATCTCTAAATAATAATAAAAATAAATCCTAGACAGGCATTCTGATGTTCCACACGCCTTTTTTAATGTAAAGTGAAGCACCAGCTTTGTAAAAACAACCCCTCAAAACATTAAAGGAGAACTATGAGGTGAATGAATTTCACTCAACCTCATAGTTCGAGCTGACGTGTGACAATGAAACTGTCACAGGTCGGCTCAATAGATCGGGAAGTGAGCGAACACATACCGTCACTCACTCACTCACTCACTTCTCGATCCTGTCCCTGCAGAGAGCTATTACTGTCACTCACGGCTCCCTACAGGGATCCCCCACCCCCCGCTCCTATCCTCCAGCGCTGACTGGAGGAACGAGCGGGGGAGTGGCAGGTATAGCTGGCTCTGCCTCTAGATAGGCAGATCCAACTGTCAATCACGCAACTGGGTGGATCTCAACAGTTGTAGCTCGCGGTATACTGACCTTTGGGTCATGGGAGGATGCTAGTTTATGTCCTCCCGTGACCCTGAGGAGAACTATCGGGAAAAACACTTACCCCATAGTTCTCCTTTAATTTGCTTTGCCTATACAGAGTTCTACAACATGCATGCATGACAGTTCTGGGTTAATCACCAAGCACCAGGAATGTCAAATAGGAGAATGGGGAGCGAGTCAGGAGATGCACCATGCTTAGAATTTTTCTTCACTCCTGACTGCTGAATGCATTAGTAGGGGAACAAAGAATAGGCTCTGCTGTTGAAAGGGGCATTGAAAAAAACTTCTTGCTTTACCCTGCATAGACATACCCTGCACTGCAAGCGTTAACAGCGCGTTATGGTTTAGGGGACCTGGGAAAAGGACTTATACTTACCCAATCCCTACTCACATAGTCTCTAAGACCGACACCAGCAGCCTCTTCCCTCCTGTGCTCTGGTTGGTTGGAGTCCTGCTGACATTGACACATACGGTATAGTTTAGAGCCCAAAGCCCTGCATTATACATCAGAATGCCGAGGGACAGTACACAAGCCAGAGTGTAGGGGGGACAAGGTGAGCACTGACTGCTGGGGGAGCGGGGTCACTAAGTATAACTGCTTTTACCGATACTTTAGGCTTAAATGAGCATTTAATCCTTGCAGTGCGGGGGCAGGCTCACAACACAGAGAGTTTTATTTTCCCTGGCAATAGACTTTAAAGTGTTTTTTTTGTTTATGGTTCTATTTCCATATATATGGTAGAGGAAGTGTGCCTGGTTTACTGCCTTTACGGTAGTATCCTTTTCTGTTAAATAGACTTCAAGGCATCAGTAGCTCCAGACCCCTGATGAAGTCACGTGTTTTGACGTAACGTACGTAGGGCAGAGCTTCCGATGTCACTGCACTGAGCTGAGCCAGATGAACGGGCGTTTTATCGTTTGCTGCCACTTGCCTTGCTGGTTTGATCCAGCAATACCTAATGCCTGTACTGTTTGCACCAGTCTGAGTACTCATTTTTTACTTAATAAATTGCATTTTATTGGACGTTACGCACTATGTCCTTGTCCTTTTTCTCTCTTCTCCTGTATTTATGCTGGTACTTGTAATCTGAGGAGACCTTATCGCCTTCACTGTGCATGGGCTTCCCTCCCACATTAAGAAGGTAACAAGCGCATTTGAGGTAGCTCTGTGGGTCTACCTCCCCAGGTGAGCACTCATCACTCACTGGGTGGAGGTGAAGGTCTGCCTATCCTTACCTGAGAGTTATATGATTATTAGATCGGCACAATATTGTTTTTTTCAAATTTTTTAGATATTTATTTATAGCCTTAGTGCTTAGTAGCTCTTATTTCATATTTACCCACTGGCGCAGATCACTTTATTGTTTTTTTAGACTTTCATGTGGCACTAAACTCAGGAGTTAAATCTTAAAAATGAATTCAAGTACCTTAACTATTAATAAAAATGCATCTTATTTGTGTACCACAAATTGCCAGTTCATTACTTCTACAAAAACAATTCTATTTTCCATACAGCCACCAAACAGACTGAATCTTTTCCGCCCGAGGAACTTTCAGATGTTCAGACGGGAGCGTGCGGCGGAGACACAGGTAAGTATTAACCCTTTGAAAAAGTATTTTTTTTAATCGTTTTGCATATATCTACTGCTTGCTAGCAGTAGATATATGCAAAAACAGATGAGGGCTTAATAACCCTTTAACTATTAACAAAAAATGTATCTTATTTGTGTATCACTCAGCTGTAGATCCTCAAATCATCTCTGAATTGGTGCTGACACTGTCCTTCCTCCTGGAGGGTGGCTATGTTTGATCCCCACGGTCCCTGTGTGTGTGGTAAAGAAGCCACCACTCCAAGCTCACTCCTGTGATGGACTACAAGTTAGTAAACTAAACATGAGATTGTAGTCTATCATGGGAGTGAGCTTGGAGTGATGGCTAACGTCAGCACCAATTCAGAGATGGTTTGAGGATCTACAGCTGAGTGATACACAAATAAGATATATTTTTGTTAATCGTTAAGGTACTTGAATGCATTTTTTAGATTTCCCTCCTGGGTTTAGTGTCACTTCAAGGTAAAGGACATGCATTGCAAAGATTTTAGAAACATTTTTGCTTAACAGTACTGAGTTTTGTTCTATGGCAATACATTTGCTTGAACATTGCAAAGTGCATCTGTGGTTCTGCATAAACACATTCGCAGGCACTAAATGTGAATTTTTGTGGCCCTGGCATCCCGATAGATGTCATTGCTCACTATAGTTGCAGAATCACTTTCTAAAGGCCTGTGTGTATCTACTTAGGTCCCACTCACACCATTTCATTTTATGAGCAATACAGCGCAGGATCACAGCATGATAAAAGCACATGAACACTAGTTATCATTATAATCTATAAAGCTATTCACATCAGTGTGTTCCCTTTTTAAAAAATCCTGCTTGATGCATTTTTTGTGTGTTTACGTAAAATTGCATATTACATTATAGTCAATGGCAACCCATGGAAAATACACTGAAAATGCAAATGCAAGCCCCATGTCCATATTTCCTATGAAATGACTAAAATTAAAAAATATAAAACACATCTTGCATTGCTTGAAATTTTAACATATAGCATCAAAAACGTACTAAAATTGCATATCGCCCTTTGAGGAAAACGTGATGGTGTTAACAAGCCCTAACAGATACATCTCTAGAAGCATCATCCTACTCAAGGCTGATGCTACGGATAGAAACATTGGGGGAATCAATAAAAAGTGTTTGAGACTGGTACAGTTGCCCATAACAAGCAATCAGCTTTTATCACTTTTTTTCATCGCAGCTTAGAAAAGGAATATTTAAAAGCTGATTTTCTGCATTTCAGTTGAGACAATGTTGGCACATTACAACCCGCCGGTTGTAACAACAAAAAATAGAACAGATTCCTCCATTAACGCTTACAAGCATTTACAGATGAATCCCCCTGCTGTTTACATTGTATTCTGAATATGTGTATGTCTGAGAATTTTCCAACTGGCTTCTTCAATCAGCGGAAGGGTGCCGACAATTGCACCCATGGTACGAATTTTGGCTAGTTCCCGGACCGTCTTTAATATTGATGGGACCCCAGGCAAACATTTTCTTGGGCCCCTCACCACCCCCTACCTGCCACGCTCCCCCCATGCAATATTGCCCGCTATACGCTGACACCAGGGGGACACAATAATAGTGACACCAGGAGGACACAAGATGACACAATAATAACACCAGGGGGACACATTAACAATGACACCAGGGGGACACAATAATCGGGACACCAGGGTATACAATAATAACGACACCAGGGGACACAATAATAACGACACCTGGGGACACAATAATAACGACACCTGGGGACACAATAATAACGACCCCAGGGGAACACAATAATAACGACACCAGGGGAACACAATAATAACGACACCAGGGGAACACAATAATAACAACACCAGGGGAACACAATAATAACGACACCAGGGGACACAATAATAATGACACCAGGGGACACAATAATAACGACACCAGGGGGACACAGGGGGACCCAATAATAATGACACAAGGGGGGACTCAATAATAATGACACCAGGGGGACCCAATAATAATGACACCAGGGGGACCCAATACTAATGACACCAGGGGGGACCCAATACTAAGGACACCAGGGGGACCCAATAATAATGACACCAGGGGGACCCAATAATAATGACATCAGGGGGACCCAATAATAATGATACCAGGGGGGACCCAATACTAATGACACCAGGGGGGACCCAATACTAAGGACACCAGGGGGACCCAATAATAATGACAACAGGGGGGACCCAATACTAATGACACCATGAATAAACGTCAGTCAAAGTATCGCAGCGCTGAACACTGAAAAATGGCCTGGCCAGGAAGGGGGTCTAAACACCTGGTCTTGAAGTGGTTAAAGACTGCCCTGGCTGGTTCATCGGTAACCAGACGAAATTCGAACTATTTGTACCTGACTTAGCCGAATCGCAAGCAATGGGTTTCTGACATAGCAACTCAAAAAGGCCAGCTAGAAATACATAACAACTTAAAGTGAACTTGCCAGGTCCAGTGTTAAATTCAGCAATACTGCTGAACTTCAGGCACCTAAGCCTCACTTGCATGCATCTATAGTGTATGTTGTACACAGAAAATTTTATTTTGCCCAAATGTGTGCTAACCAATATCCCCAATAGTCACTTTAAAGGAGAACTATGGGGTTCTATCTTTTTTTATTAATGCATTCCTTAGGCTAAATAAGTAAATAATGTAATTTACTCTAATTAGCCAAAATGCACAGTAAGGCTCCTCCCCACTGATGACTGACAGTGATTCTTGGGAGCTGCTGCGTGTCCACGAATATATGGACATGCGCAGCAGCTCTCTCCTTACCTGCAAGTCCCCGTGTGCCAGCTCCTTCCCCCCTCTCTCTCTCTCTCCCCGCTGACACTGACATACTAAAATGATCGTGGATCGCTGATGAGAGAGGGGAAGGAGCTCTCTCTCTCTTCAACATTTACTACAAATGGGAAAGTCCATATATGGTAAATGATGTCACTGGAGATCCCTGCCGATCGGATCCGATCAGCAGGGATCTCCAGTGACATCATTTACCATATATGGACTTTCCCATTTGTAGTAAATGCTGAAGAGAGAGAGGGCTCCTTCCCCCTCTCTCTCTCTCTCTCTCTCTCCCTGCTGACACTGACATACTAAAATGATCGTGGATCGCTGATGACAGAGGGGAAGGAGCCCTCTCTCTCTTCAGCATTTACTACAAATGGTAAAGTCCATATATGGTAAATGATGTCACTGGAGATCCCTGCAGATCGGATGCTTGCCAGTCTGCAGAGATCCCCAGTGACACCATTTACCATATATGGACTTTCCCATTTGTAGTAAATGCTGAAGAGAGAGAGAGGGCTCCTTCCCCTCTCTCATCAGCGTTCCCCAGTGAATTGAGGATGTCAGCGTCACACAGGGCAGGGAGAGAGCGAGAGGGGAAGGAGCCTGCATGCATGAGCTGATAAAACATAGCTGTGCACGATGAGAGGAAGCGCGGCCACAGCAATGAGATCATTTGAAAAAAAAAGCAGTGGGCGGGCTGGATCAAATGTTAACGCCCCCTAAGAGGAAAGGAGCTTGGAGCATGTGTGAAGACGGCCATTTACTACAGGTTTTGAGGGTTTTATCTGTGATGTGCTGCGAATTTAGAAAAAAAGAACGCTGCTACTACAATCAAGGTAAGGGGTATTTTTATTTGCCCTTAAGTCATAGTTCTCCTTTAAGATTTTTAAGCATTGTAACACTAAATACAATAAAAAACCCATTTGAAAAGTGTGTTGTCGACTCTTGCTCTTTGAACAGAAGAACATGATCTTACCTCTGGATAGCAGGGAATACCAAAGAACTCACATTTTAACAGTGTTCTGTTACTGAGATAAAATCCATAATTTTTAGTAAAGTCTTTGATGCTGAAATTTTGGTTGAGGTTCAGAAATTCAATCATTTCTTGTACATCCTCAGAATCTTTTCCTGTGCTTGAAAAATGTAGTACTGTAGATACAATGTTCCACATGAAAAAGGCAATGCTTATATTGTTCACTGCACGAGTTTGGAACCTACAATTATATATAGATAAAAGGCAGTTATTATGTTGCAGGAATATAAGTTCCTTTGTTTTAAAATCAAAATAGGATTGGTTTGTTGAGTTTGCTTTACATGTTGTTTAAAATGAACCTTTGTTTTGGCCATGCTGGGTAAATTAACAGGTCCACTTTACCTAAACCTCCCCAGCTACATATACTTACGTTCCTTTCTCTCCTCCACACATGAAAACTACGAGTCACAGGGCTATGGACTCCCCATGTGACAGTGTTAATTGGTTGCCACATGGAGTGTCACATGCTTCTCCTTTGGTTGCTGTAAATATATGCCATGGAATGGTGAGAGATTAAAGCAAAAAGTAAGGAAAAACAATTATTTCCTTTAAAGTATATCTATAACCAAAACTTTTTTTACCCCCTTGGCATAGCTCCTACTTTTAAAGACAGGAGGAGGGGCATGCTTCTCAAACATGTGATCTCTGTGATTGGATGTTACAGAAGTCACATGACTGGGAGCCTGTCCCACCAGCTCCAGATCATAAACAAACAGTGACTGGGAGCTGTTGGTTCCATGAGCATGCTCCTAGTAAAGAACAGTGCTAAAGCCCATTGCCATGCTGACACATATATGTGTTACACCAGTGGGAAGTGGTTAAGTTATGCTGCCAATGCTGGCTTTTTCTGAGAATACTAGGTGCCTGGTTGTGTCTGGCTGTGAAATAGAATACTTTTTTATATTATAGATTGACTTGTTTCAAGCATTGAAGCTAAAGCATCAGCGTGACAGCCAGGGAACAAACGTTTTCAAAGTCAGTAATGGCAGCCTACATAATTCTCCATTGACAAGTGTACTTTAAGCTTTGAGGTGCATACAGAGATCACAGCATATCTTCACAGTATTTCGGTTTTCTGAGACATTGCTTTAAAGTAGCAGCCCACCCAACTCCCTTTTGTCTTTATTCAGTGATCTTGGTTTCTGCCTGTTTGTAATGCTGAAATTGCCTGTTCATTGTCTCTTACAGAAAACTTGATACCGTACAAATACAATTCTATTTTCCTTAGAGCCACCAATCAGACTGAACCTTTTCTTTGAAGTCTAAATGTGATTGGTGATGATACAAGACGTAGAGAGAGCATGTTATACAGAAGGCTTTAAGAAGTACTCTCCTACTGCCCTTCTTCTGCTAGGTAGTCTGTGTGCACTGTAGATGCGATGTGTTATAATGAGTTCACATTTTTATATTTTATTTTAGCTTCAGTGTGTTGCCTAACCATTGCCTGGAAGTGCTGTTAATTGAAGGTTGTATATGTGTGTGTGTATATGTGTGTGTGTGTGTGTGTGTGTGTGTGTGTGTGTGTGTGTATATATATATACATATATATATATATACACACACACTATGTTGCCAAAAGAATTGGGTCGCCTGCCTTTACACGCACATGAACTTTAATGGCATCCCAGTCTTAGTCCGTAGGGTTAAATATTGAGTTGGCCAACCCTTTGTCGCTATAACAACTTCAACTCTTCTGGGAAGGCGTCTACAAGGTTTAGGAGTGTGTCTATGGGAATGTTTGACCATTCTTCCAGAAGCGCATTTGTGAGGTCAGGTACTGATGTTGGACGAGAATGTGGCGGCGTGCTTTACACCACTGCATCAGATGCTTTGCATTCCACTTGGTGATGTAAGGCTTGGATGCGGATGTTCGGCTAGCGCTGTGAGCGGCCGGTGTCTCTCCTCCCACACCACTCGGCCGCCTATCACAGTGTGCGGCAGGGCGGTGTTGTCTGGACGGAGACAGCGCTGTGACAGGAGGCTGGGCTCTCGCACCGCTCGCTCAGCTTCCTGTGACAGTGTGTGTCAGAGATGAGAGCGGGCTATAAACACTCAGCGGTCACTGAGTGTTTCTAGATAATTGAGGACATGGTATATGTAAAAGTTTATAAAAAATAAAAATCAAATATTTAAAATTTTAAAAAAAATTAAAATAAAAACATTTTCGGTATCGGTTTCGGCCTAACAATTTTTTATATTTAGATTTTGTTTCCCTTGTGTTAGTTTTAAAGTGACACTAAGCGCAGGAATTAAATCTTAAAAATGCATTTAAGTACTTTAACTAATAACAAAAATGTATCTTATTTGTATATCACTCAGCTGCAGATACTCAAATCATCTCTGGATTGGTGCTGACACTGTCCTTCCTTCTGGAGGGTGGCTACTTTTGTTCCCATGGTCCCTGTGTGTGATGGACTACAATCTCAATAAAAATTAGTAAACTAAACATGAGATTGTAGTCCATCATGGGAGTGAGCTTGGAGTCTGACTACCATCAGCACCAATACAGAGATGATTTGAGGATCTACAGCTGAGTGATACACAAATACGTTACATTTTTGTTAATAGTTAGGGTACTTGAATGCATTTTTAAGATTTAACTCCTGAGTTTAGTGTCACTTTAAACATTACCCAGTGCTGGCTATAAATCACACATAGGATCGCTACTGTCATCATACTATAGGCAGCATAGTTTGCAACTTATAATTTAATTGGGGAACAAAGGAGAAGGGGGGTCTTTTTTTTTTAAAGCGATGTTCTGAAATATTTACACAATCTCCTCATACACAATATTTGGGAGCTTGTACTCCAGTGGTTTCTGCTCCATTTATGAAGGACAGCGCAGGTAACCAAAGTATTAGGAAAATGGTGACCTAGTCTTTAATATTGTGAGCAAGGTCTTGTATTTTCAGGAAAACATTTTGTATTTGTTGTACCTGCCAAACTGGAACAAACATGCTGAATTCATAGTTAAAACTAATAGAGCCATACAAACTATGCAAACTTTTGTCCTAAAAGCCCATACACTATATTAGATATGTCAAAAACAGTTACAATGGTTGGAAGACAGTTGCTAATGACAAACTGAGATGTTAATGATAACTGTTGATCTCTGCTTATGGGTAAGCTACCAGGGGAATAAAGCAGCCACAATCGTAGACTATGTTGTCCTGGAAAATTAAAAAGAGATTTTGCTGCGCTAAAAGCCCCTACTGTGTCAAACTAATTATCTAAACAAAACAAGTGACTCACAAGTGCTGTGAGTAATATAAAATAAAATATCATTGGAAAAACTCTCCTCTAGAGCTATCAATCTAAATTTATATCTGTGAAAATTTAAGGGGAACCAAAAGACCAGGTGGTCTCTTGAAATTGTGATAAGTAAATGAATAAATAAATAAACAGTGTGACCACTAACCAAAAATATTAGTGACTCAAATAAATAATCAAAAATCAAAATATACAGTCACTTTGTGCAAGTGATAAATAGTGTTGTGACTCTTGTCTGTTTATACAGACTTCTCAACATACAGAAAAACCGTGAACAACTGGTGACCAATTGAAAAATCAACAAACAGGCTAACCCCCAGAAGACATCCTATAGTGACGAAATGTGTCGGGTGGGCCTATTCTGACATCACAGCGTAACGCAAAACCCGAAAGTGAGCGTTGCTGCGCAAGAGACACCGATCGTTTGACTTTTAAATGGAAGTTTGGATATATGTTTTAATAAACGGTTTTAATATGCTTCACCATGAGGAGTCCCTCTTGATTTTGTGATTTCTGGGTAACATCATCCGGCTAAACACCTGGAGGAAGTACCAGAGAGATATCTGATCCGATACATGCTTCATACTGACTGCAAAATTTCAAAAGGACTTGTATGCGGTGAGTGAGCACTGCCTACGGGTTTTTTGTTTGTGTGAAACACTCTGAAGATCACGTTAAGCCCCAATAGTGGATACACCAGGACGTTATCTAAGAGATTGGAGGACGTTTAACAAAGGAATTTTTTCATCACTGTATGATGAATTGTTTGCTGATTTTTCAATTGGTCACCAGTTGTTCACAGTTTTTCTGTATGTTGAGAAGTATGTTGAGTCACAACACTATTTATCACTTGCACAAAGTGACTGTATATTTTAATTTTTGATTATTTACTTGAGTCACTAATATTTTTGGTTGAGTCTGTCTGTTTGTTTGTTTTTATTGGTGCACAGGGTCCCTCCCCCTGTTATGAGGAGTTTCGCACACCACCAGTAGTTAATCTCCAGAGTTGTGTCTGACCTACAGGAGTGCGCTCTAAACTTTGTGCTTAATATTTTTGGTTAGTGTTCACACCTGGTCTTTCAGTTCCCCTTACATTTTCACAGATATAAATTTAGATTGATAGCTCTAGAGGAGAGTTTTTCACTGATATTTAATTTATATTACTCACAGCACTTGTGAGTCACTTGTTTTGTTTAGATAATTAGTTTGACACAGTAGGGGCTTTTAGCGCAGCAAAATCTCTTTTTAATAAACTGAGATGTTACCCTGATGAACAAATTTATTGAATATGCTTTTCGTAAAAGAACAAAATGGCATACAAAGTTATTGGACCCTTTGCAAACAGCCTTATTGTCATGCATTATGGGTCATTAAAATGAATAATATATATACCTGTTCAAGTTACAAAATGTAACAGAGGGGAATTCAATCTTGTCGACATACTGCACAGTTACCGATGTTGTCGTTGGCCAACTGAAATAATTGATGATGCGTGAGCAGACCTGTGAAAAGGCTGCAATGAGAGAAACAAGTACAACAACAAACCAGAGAACTCTGCGGACCTGGCCCATTGTCCCAGTGTGGTTGCCATCTACAAGGTTATGTAATCCATGAAATGAGGTGGAAACTGCAAAGTTATGGTTATATTTCTTCCGTTCTTCTGCACATGGAGGAGAATGCTTTCTAGCAAAAAATTGCATTTTATGCCACAGTGCTGAAATAAGAAAAGGTCTCACATTAGTTAGGCTACTACTATAATAAAGACTAGTGAAAAAATGGATTTATATGCAGATTTTAAAGGTGACTTTGGAAACGTGCAATGGTTAAGAGAAATGAAAATAGTGAAAAGTTTGGTGGGAAAAAATTGTCTCTAAGTATAGTTTGTAATTAAAAATGTTTAAATGTACAATGCATGCACATCTGGGCACACATGTAAAGGCTCATTACTTAAGCCTTTCGTGATGAGAGGCAATTGATACCTTAAAGCAAAATTCATCAGCGCCAACATTTTTTGAGTATCTTTCACTGTGATTGGTTCCTGATCGTCTGATCAAAATTTAGCAGTTTCTTAGCACTAACTTGTACAGACATGTCCAGTAATATCAGTTTTGCATTGCTCTTCATAAACAACACCATTTTTGCATGTTTATTCTTGATACCTTTAAGATGCCCCTCTTAACTATGCATACATGCATAGCTTAGTTTCACTTATTTGAAATCTGTTTATTATGTCTTTACACCTTGAATTTCTGCCTCATGTTCCAAAAGTCTGGGAACAATTGTTTGAGGTGGAGTTAAAAATGGAGACATATTTTTGTGGGTGTGGGTACAAATGGGGTGTAATGTTGTGGTTAAAATTGGGCATGGTTATTAGGGTGTCCCCAGGTTTAATTTTTAAAGTATTCCATATTTCAAAAAGTGACACTAAACGCAGGAGTTAAATCTTAATCTACTTATATGAGTGCTTGCATGTTGGCATAACACATTCATGTGTCATCTTAGGGGGGAAAAAAGTTTGTTTGCAGGTGAGATCTCTCCAAAAGGAACTGTTAGCATAGCATTCATAGAGTCTGAAACAAGTAGAAGTGAGGGGATCAGAAGATCAATCAGAATGTGAAAAAAACACAATGGCTCTGGTGAAGCTGCTCTGAACATAAAGGAGATGTCCCTCAAAGAAGTGAACCCAGAACTGAAGTCCAATGAGAGGGCAAACAAGATAGCACGAGAATCCAAACACCTTTAATCAAAGACTAAGTTCCCAAACGACAACACAGAACAGCCAATGTGTTTCAGGGGCTCAAAGACCTCCTCCTTAGTCAACATAATGGGTTGTATCGCGGACCTCAAGTTGGAATAAATTACCAAGGATTATTTATTTGTTGTCTTACTTATGTATAGCCAAAATCAGGGAATCGGCAAAACTGATTTAAAAGGCATTAATTTCCCAAAAGCAATACATTCTTACCCATAAATGGTGCTTAGCAGTTGTTTCAAAATAAACCAGAGATACATTACAGTATTTGATGACTCTTATCTTACGACGTGCTTGGGCAAAGAGTTAAATGCCAAGAAGCCAACATTACAGTTTGGCTATATTTAGTTAGAAACGGCCAAATGTACTAAAAAGTAGAATTGTTATCCACTGTAACCAAAAAGAATAATTACCTTCCAGCTGCAAATTAGAGGAAGGAAAGATAACATTTGAAAAGCTGTTTCGTAAACTGCTCAATAGTCCCCAATCCACTTTGTGTATGTCACTCCATAGGCACAGAGAAAAAGTGAGCTGTAAACCCCAGAATTAATTTTCTGCTATAACTTTTGTAAGCTGTAGAGAGCTAAGATCTAAGTCTATGTCAGTAGCAACCAATCACTTTTCATTCTATAGAAAAATTGAACAATAAACCTTTTTGGTTGTGATAGGCAGTCCTTTCTCAATTTTCAGGAATCAAGCCCCCTGTTTCCAATGTGTCAATATTTTTAACTTAATTTGTAAAGAATAGTTCTATGACAGCTCAGTCAAAAAAATCACACTTACATTTTAAATTGACTAGGAAAAAAACAGACATAAAAATCAACAAAATGTCAAATTAATATTCTGTATCTATTTTTTGATACAGCTAAAACTCATTGCCTCACGTAGGCTGTGATATCTAAGAAAATGGACAATGTACATACCATTATTTTGATGCGCCAGGGATTTGTCTTGTCGGTCCATGGTTCTTGAAAGCAATGCATTGTGTATGTTCAGAAAGATTTTAAGGAAAATCTAGTGTGGGAGGAGAGCTTAGTGTCCATGCATAGTGCAGTTGTTAAGCTGCCTGTGTTGCTAAAGTACATATCATTTCCTAGTAGTATGAACCAAATAAAACTCTAATGTAAAGTCAATAAACACACACACTCATTGCAAAATGACCATTAAGGGATCATAATTATCATCAACTGAAATGTCTTCAATATTGCTGACATTCTCAGTTAAAATATGTCAACATGCAATTCTACCACATTTTATCAAAACTGGATATACCTTACTTAAAGGAGATCTCCAGGTAAACCATTCCAGACACACGCCACCCATTGTTACATGGAATCTTCTGCATCTACTTAATTTGATTACAGTAAAAGTATCAGTACATTCACCAAGCAGCTGCTGGTGCAGTTCAGCATCATTACATACTAAACATAAACAACCTGATGTTAGGGAAATTTTCTGGAGCTTTTTATTTTAACCAAAGTTATCTTTTAATAAACCAAATGGCAATGTATCTGCAGAATCCTATTGAATCAATCAGAAGGGGTTAGAAACCCAATCTTATGTTTCACACAGTGAATATTTTCCCTGTTTGATCTGTGACAGACTGCCATGGAGGCAGAGAATTGCACAAAGACTCATAAAAAGATACAAAGAATGTGTCCTGTAGGAAGTGAAGCAAGCATCGAAGGAAGGGTGGAAGTCTAGCCAGAATAAAGGCGGTACATTGAAAGAGGACAGAATGGCTCTCAGGTCTGGTGAGAGCACAGTGGATTCCCAGATGAGGAGATAATAGGCCTTCTAAGAAGATCATTCAGACCAATTGTAAAGCTTGTCCATATATGCACAGTCGGGGGCTAAGTCTCGGGCATCTCCTCTCAGAAAGCTCATTGAGTGTTCAAGGACGTAGCCTGGGACACTGGATAATTGTGCAACCTAGGAGCTTCCGGTGGTGTCTCAGAAGATGTAACTATGTTTAAATGAGTGTGTAATTATTTTGGTTTTCACTTCATAAATGGCCATCCTGGCTAGGAATTAGTACCTTACAAGGTGTCCTTTAGAATCTGCCAGGTGCAAGCATATTAACATTTCAATAAATCATTTGCAGTTTCTTACATGACCCTTTCTTATCTTCATTTAAACAGTACACAGAGATGATCGTGCCCTCAAATGTTTGTACTAACATGGACTGTTATAAGTGTATGAGCTCTGATAACAGCTGGAATGACTCCTCAGAATTTGGCACCCTACATGCTTTACTAATACTATATTATGCCAGTTTTCATTTCACACTGGCTCCACTGCTGCACCTTGCCAACTCTGGCTCTTTCTTTCTGTGAATGTGAATGCACACACCATGAAAAGATTTCACAGTTTGTATGATGGTCTGGCATTTGTTTATTCTGTCAGCTGACACTACTGTATTTAATGCACTCACAATAATTAACTGCAGGTATCTGTTTCTATGATGATTAATAATAACATAGACATGTCAGGTGTAAGATACTGTGATTTTGAAATACTTACACTTGCAGAGCATTCACTTCCAGCTTTAAAAGGGCAAATGACTTCAGTTTGCCCGAGCATTGCATCATGGGAAGGTAACATCAGCAGAGCATTGCTGGGAAATCACATCTCAGGAACAGCATTTTCCTCCCCTGAGATGATGTGTATGGTCACATGTCCTAGTCACATGTCTAGTCACATGTGCCAGAAATCGAGGAAGTAATAGGAGAGCTAGTAATCTGCCCTTAGCAAACATGGCCACTGTCAGAAGACTGGGGAAGAGAAGAGAAATAAGGAATGCAAAGAATACAAAGCCTACAATTAGCTAGAAGTATATGTTTGTAGTTTGTCATGCGATAATGTGCATTGCATTAAGACAGCGCATTGAAAATAATGGTCTGCCAACACACCAAAACGTCCCAAAAATTAGACATGCTACAAAACATTTGATAACAATGCACCCCAACGCACTATGGTGTTTTGCAGCTCGTTGCCTTGCATGTGCAGTGCATTGTGTGTTGGGGTGCCATTCAAACTTAATGGCAATGCAAATTGTGAACACATGTAACATGTGTTGCTACATGTTTCAGTAGTATGCAGGTTCCAGCAAAGCATAGATGTAAATCTGCCCTAAAATCTCTTTTTTTTAAATGTAGTACCTGAATAGCGCAAATAGTGCAGTAGAGCAAATACCTGAATCTTCTATGGTGTCAGCCTCTTACAGTCCCCGTGCAGTCTAAAAAGCAGAGCCATATCGGTGGACTGAACAATATACTATATATTACTAAAGCACACTCGGCCAAAAGCTTTCCACCCCACAACAAGGACAAGAAAGCTCCATCACACAAGATGGCGGACACTAATGATTCCACATACAGATCAGAGAAAGAATCCAATGGTGGATCTATTTCAACTGGGATTGCCATACATTAAAAAAGACTTGCAGTGGAGGTAGCTTTGCACATCAAAGCAGACTTATATGAAGGTAAGTCATGAAGGACACATTAGAGGCCTTTTATATTAACCCCTTCATGACAGCTTGTTTTTAGTTTCTGTTCGTAAATGACTGACACACTTTTGACATTTTTGCTGTGTGATTCTTCCACTTTTCACTATTTTTATATTTTTTTACACTTTTCACTATTTTTTTAAAACTTTTAAAATGTTAATTTTATTTATTTAATTATATCAAGCAGTCATTGTGAATTAATCTCACTATTACTGCTTGATAAATTAATACATTTTTGGTTATTATTAGGCTGTTTCAAACTTCAGAACAGCCAATAATAAGTTAGTGGCACTGATCCTGCAGCAGTTCAGGATTCAGCTGTCACTAATTAAAAGTTTTCTTGAACGTTCCAACAACGATCAGAAAACTTAAACATTCTTCTTTAAGGAATAGATACATTATGTATCTATTCCTGAAAGTGAAAGAAAAAAAAAAGC